CATAACATTCACTATGACATTAAGTATCTGCTGCCAGAATTTCATAATCTTTGCTTTGCAGGCCTCAAACTTGTGTTTCACTCCATAATTAATGGTTCACACAACTGATTGAGTCATTATCCAATTGATTCAAGCATTACCCAAACCAAATTGCCATAAATGGAAGAAAGTTCATACTTCCATTTTATAAAAGTGGTTTTAATCACAAAGTTCACTCTCCTTTAGATTTGTAGTTGTTCCTTCTGCACACACTAAGTCTATAAGCTCAGAAGAATTATGTTTAAAGTGCTCAACCACCCTACCTTGCCTTGAAACCATGTTTGTCCATGTTGCTTCAAAAACAAGTCAAAATCCACAAACATGTTATTTTGTACTTCTGAGTTCTACAAGTCTCTAAACCTTTTCCTATATGTTAAGATACTCGTATGCAACTTGAAACACGGTATTACAAGACTTAGAACTCCCTAAAACTCTCTCTAGCCAGAAATTGCATACAAAACTCCCCTTGTACATAGTTCTACCCAAAAACTTGTATCTTTCATTTTCATCGTGTGTTTCCCCTCAAAACTGTTTTCAAAGCTTACATATATCAAATATAGTTCATCCATATCCATGCTTTAGAACTATAACACCTCCATCACCGTCCTCCATAACTAAAATCATAGTGTTACACTTTGACTTCTATAGCACGATTCATCCATCCACAACTCAATCTAAGCATTGCTTTAGCTTCCCAGAGGTTCAAGGAAGCTAATCAGATCATTGCAACACCTTGAAAGCTGCTCAAACTCAAAACATGATCTCCATCTGCAAGGTGATTTTTTTGAACTTCTATCTCTTCATACAAGCATTATTTGATTCTGGTTTGTGAAGATAAAATATAGATATCATAGCCCTGAAACTGACCATGTCCTTGGAATTCTTTTATATTGCCTGAGTAGTGTGAATTTTAGTCTTGAACTTTCTGAAATATTTAGGTCAAAATTTGGTACCAATAAAATTCGTGTTCATCTTTGATATTTAGGTTAATTAGTTTACATATTTGGAATCGTGGTGAAATTTCTAACCAGTTTGATGTTTTCACTTTTGAGAATGGTTGAGAAATGAGCAAGTTACAGAATTCAAAAATATTAGTCATGAAAGCTGACGCGAGGAAGAAGAAGATACAGGCCATGGACTTGTTTTAAAATATAATGTGATGGTTTTGTTTCAATACATAGATGTATCACCACCACAGTGGTTAAGACGCGCGTCTGTTATCTCTTTGACTTGGATTCGAGCCCCAACATTCGTTTTGTTAGTTTTCATATTTTTCTGTTTCTTTTTTTTGTTTGCAGCCAGTGCGCCTGGGCCTCCTCTCAATGGATCTTTGTCATTTTTACTCTCTCTAACCCCCTGATTACTAAACAGCAACGCAACCCATTCTTTTTTTGTTTTATTTCCTGACTCATACAAAAATAGGCCACTGGGCCTAATCTGTTTTTTTTTCTCTATCAAATCTCCTTTTTATTTTTGCACCCTCCTAAATTTAATTTTTATACATTTTATTTTTCTGTATTTTTATTATTATTATTATTATTATTATTATTATTATTATTATTATTATTATTATTATTATTATTATTATTATCATTTTTATTAACTAAAAATACCAAATATATTTTATATTTATTATATAGATATTTAGTATATTTTTATTTTATCTCTTTTAAAACAAAGACCAAAAATATTTTTTTAATGGATTTGATATCTTTTCTTAATTAAATCATTTAGACTTAGGTTTATTTTAATCTTCTTTGTTAATTTAATTAACTTAAAATTTAGGAATTTTTATCAATTAACTTCTTTATATTAGTTTAATTAAATCAAAATCTTTCAACAAAAACTCAAACAAAATAATTTCTTCTTTCTTTGTACATTATCTTTACACTCTTGTACATTTTTATCTTGAAATATTCGATATGCTTGTAATAGTAAATTAGAGTTTATTTACATGGCGTCCCCCATTTGTAAATTTGTACCCCCGTCCCCAATGATGTAATAGCGTAGAATTTTACATTTCTGTAATTTATCACTTTTAATATAAACGATAGTAATTAGGGTTTGTATGACAAGACTAGAAACAATCAAGTAAAAAACCCTAATCCAAAGACAAAATACATGAAATCAAAACACTTTGCCCACTTGCACCTCTAGGGTTAACCTCACTTGTTGCCTTGAGAATAAAAAGTCATGTCCCTCGAACGTGGGATACTTTAGCAAAAACAATCAAAAATAAGATCGTAGTCCCTCGATGACGCTTCCATGTTGCCTTCGGTAAACGATCTTAGACCCTTCCAAACAAATTGCTAAGGTATTCTGCAATGTTGCTTTCTATGACTGTACGACGACACACGCTTGTCCCTTCACATCCAATCATAGGGATTCTTATCAATCAATAGTAAGATAGCAATATCTAAAGGAGAAGGAAAAGAACTAAGACTTTTTGAGTAGGTAGAAAGTTCATAGTTGCTTGCTCATAACCATTTTCAAAACATCTCTCAAAATACACCAACACTTTCAAATGAAATATTTTCAAAAGTCTAACACTTTGTATGCATTCTTATAGAGACAAGAATCATTACAAAGTTCTCCTAAACAAAGACACTCTCAAAAATACTTTAAAAACCATCACAAACACATTTTCAAACAAAGAATTTCAAAGTGAGCTAGCAACTAAGAGCCCGTAGATAACTACGGATGAAAAGGGTGCTAAAATCTTCCTTTTTCATAACCTATCCCCCGAACTCAAGAAAATTCTCAAAAGGCCTTTCTTGTTCTTTTCACCATTTACTTTATTGGATAAAAGAAAAGTCGGTGGCGATTCTTGTTATCCGCAACAATTGCGATAAAACGCAAAACACCCAAGTCAGATCTCCCACCGTATCACACTAGGGTTGTTAGCATTTTGAATTGGGTCTGTTTGTTATGTCCAATTGTTTAAGTTAGCTTGTACCCTAAGTTAGCTTATAATGGATATGTGAAAAAAACCCATTAATTTAGTATGTTAGATTTATTATAAATAGCATACTAGTCTCTCATCATTGCATACTGTAAATACTAATTTAGGGTGAGAGAGGATTATTTGTTATTCTTTTATACTTGTAATCTTGTTCTAAGAGAAAGTAAAGAATAGAAGTTAATAATCAATTACTTGTGTTCTTCTTTTTTTCTTCATATTTTCTACCCTTGTGTGTTTCTTGATCATAGAGAAATAATTTATACTTTGTTTCCAAGGCATCATTTTCATGACATCTACTCATATGCAGTCTATTTGTCGACTCAGTAAGACATAATCTGACTTATTACTTGATCCCTTTATGTGCATATTAGTTGTTGGAGCCTCGCAATCTGCCAGTTTAACTGGACTAGAGGCCTCTTATGAAATTAACATGGTGTGCCAATTTATGTCTAGTCGTACTAAAGATTATTGTGTTGTAGTCAAAAGGATACTTAGGTATCTCAAATGAGCCATTGATCATGACTTACTTTTTCGTCCTACCTCTATCACTACACCCATTTCTTTAAAGGCCTTTTGTGATGATGACTAACAAGCTGATCTCGATGACAAAATGAGCATACCTAGAACTCCAATTATTTTGGTCATAACTTTGTCTCATAGTGGTCAAGAAAACAATCAGTTGTAGATCGATCTAGCATTGAAACTGAATATTGAAGCCTTACACGTATATTTGTTGAACTTCTGTGAATTCAAACTCTTCTACAAGAATTGTGTTCTAGTGCAGCCTCTTCTAGTGCTTTGAGACAATCACTCAGTTGTGTTATTGACGCATAACTATATCTTACATACCAAAATAAAACACATGAAGATTGAATAGTTTTTATGCGAGATAAAGTTATTGCTAAATAACTTTCTACAGTCTATATATATATATATATATATATATATATATATATATATATATATATATATATATATATATATATATATATATATATATATATATATATATATATATATATATATATATATATATACACCTGCAGTCAAGAAACGACACTACTTTCACGCATTCAACCGTAATTGACTGTCTGATCAAAGATCAAATGATTCTTATTTAAAGTTAATAATTTAAAAAAAAAATCATTTTTTCTTAATAAAGATCAAAAGTTCAAACAGTTAATAATATTTTGACAGCATGAATGTGAGGAGAAAATGAGAGTGGACTTAAACTTGTTTTCTTTTATAAAATGTCCAATTAACTTTTAATATGAATACAAAGTGATTTTTATAGAGATCACAAGATAGAATATTAAATGTTACAGTATTAACTATTACTAGGTCCCTAAGGAATAAACTTTCCACTGCCCAAAGAAAATTTTTCTTTTGTACTATCCAATACAGATTTGAATTTAACCAACAGAATGCGGATAAATTTCAACTGCATTGTATTCCATTTCACGTATTAGTGCATAAGCGACCATCTGGACATTGGCTTGTAAATTGAATTGATCAGTAATCGACACTTGTCGATTACAGCATGCTGATATAAGAGATCTAACACTATCAGTGCACATCTCTAACTTCTTTAGAAATAATGAAAAGCACTTAACAAAGTTGTAAATTAAAGTCAGCACTACCATTCTCTCTATTCTAATAAACTTTAATTAAGATGGATTAAAGAGGCATTTTAATCTTCTTTTTATAGATCAAATCCTTAATTAACATATAGATAGAATGAGTTTTCATGCTCAAAGCTCAAATTCAAGGGAGCACACATTTCTACCATTGCAATCATTCCCATAAAAAAACTTGACACTACATATTATCCAGCAAGAAAGCATTTTGAATTAACAAAAAGCAAACCATTCGTACACACACAAAGCTTCCTGACATAAAGTAGTAGTAATGTATAACAGCTGTTATCATTTTCATCATCCTTTCTTTTTTCTTTCCCCCTAGAAAATGCTTAGCCACCTTCAACTTAAAGTTTTCTTCATCAAACATTTTCCGTTGATGAAGGAAGAAGAGGTTGAGTGAGTGATGCTTTTCCATGATGGCTTGAGGCCCTGATAATGCCACTATGCTCCGGAGTCGAAGTTGTTGCTGCTAGCTCCCTTGCAAATTTCTTTTCTTCATTTTTGCCCCACAAAACTAGGTACAACCCCACAATGATCAATGCTGCTCCAATGATCCTATAAAATCACAAATTTGCTTTTGTAACAAAAGTGTATATAAAGAAAGAAAAAAGTTGTTACTTTAAACTTTCTTTTGACCCTATAGAACATGGAATCATTTAAAAAAATTGTTCATTCTAATTTCACATGTAAAAAAGTTGAATTATAGATAAGTTTTAAAAAATATGTATTAGTGGCTTGCCTTTCTTAGATGAGTCAGTTCTCACCTAAAGGTACCAACCAAACAGCACCTTACCTCTAGTTTACTAGTTCTTTTAATAGAATTCATTTCTCGTTTTCAAAAATGGTGATAAATTTATCAGTTAAGTCGTCATTACACTTGTATGTATTACTAGTGACGAATAAGATACAGAAAAGTGAAAAATAAGATAGATAGGACAAACCCTCCCAAGTAGAATTCTTCTCCTAAAGCAAGAGAAGCCATAATAGCAACAATTAGAGTTTGAACAGGTTGATACACTGCAACGAAAACAGGTCCTCCTTTGTCAATGCACCATATCTGTACAGCGAATGCAATTCCTGATGCTACCACTCCCTGCAATATTAAAATCATTAATAACAATAATAATGCATTATTATTACCAACAGCACACGCGCAAAACACTAGACAACTACCATTACATACATCTCAAAAGCATGCACATAGTATATCTTTAGAGAAAGTAATTCTTTATCATATAACTTTTATTATTATAGTTTACGAGATCGAAGGTTTTAATACTAACCCCGTAGACGATAGTAAGAACTTCACTACCAGAGGTGAAAATCCAAGCCTGAGAATTTCTTTCAAAGATCAAAGCAATAATGAGGAATTGGATAAGTCCAAAGAAACATGTATAGGAAGTGACAGAGAGACGAGCTGGATACTTCTTAAGGACAGGTGCTTGTAACACCAGCCAACCAGACCAAGACAAACAATGTCCTATAAGGTACAAACATCCAAGGGTCCAGTTTTTTCCTTTTGCATCACCCAATGACTCAAACAAACTCTCTTGTATGATATTGTTGTTGTTGTTGTTTAGAGATGGTGGAACTGGACTGTATATTGTTGGACCTTTGTAAAGCGTTATCACTGATGCTCCTGCAACACAGAATAATGTTCCTGCAACTTTTCCCATTCCATCCTTTCTGTTCAACTTCACTTGCTCTATTCTGAAAATTGTATAAATTTTTTTTTTTTCATTTTTCAGTGTAACTGCTAACAAGTAATTAAGGACTTAATAAAATAATCAATTACCTGAGTATAACTGCCATGAGAAATGTAATGGCTGGAACTGAGTTTTGTATAGCTGATGCAAAAGTTGGAGATGTATTGTCCAAGCCAAGCAAGTAGAAACCTTGGTTGGCTGTAAAACTGTGTAATACAAATTTTATTTTGTTTAATCAGAAGTGTCCAAGATAAATTATATAGGATTTTTTGAAATTCGGGTCTGAAACCGTAGTTGTAACCCTAATACAAAAGATTTTTAAGTTACAATAACGACATTACAAACGTAGTTCTCGTAGCAATATGGTGCATACCCGACAAGGGCAAGAAGGAAGAAGTGCAAAAGAAAGTTGAAGTTAATAGCTGGCCTTTCCTTCCTGGACAAAAAATGAAACAATGCAACAATTGATTATGTCATGTATTGAAGTTGTTAACCTATTAGAAAGTTGTGTTTAGTTAGTATTATTACTTTTCCAAGAAGTATGCAAATGGAACAAGGAGAAGAAAAGCGAGAAGATTTCGATAAACCGGAAAAACGAGTTTGCTAATTCCCATGTTAAGGGCAGCTCTAGAGACAACATGGAAACCAGCATAACCAACTTGGAGGACCAGCATGGCCCCATGCAGCTGAAACCGTTCTGGTATGGAGCACCACATTCTCCTAGAAGAACCACCTGAATCAGCCATGTTAGAGTATTATAGTTATAATCTTAGTGTTGTTATGAAGAAGGGAGAGAAAGAAGTGTGGTGGTGAAGAGGTGAGGGAAGAGTGAGGGTATAAATATAGTGAAGAGGGGAAGGTGTGACCCTACAATGAGGAAATAAAGACGTTTTGTCAACTGTTGGTAGCATTGAAATGTTTGTTGTTTGTCTCCCACATTCTTTGATATTAGTTCAACACCCTTGTGGGATGACAAGACAACCCCCACCGCACTTAAAGTTGAAGTTAATTTATTGAGAAAAAGAGAGTCATAATTCATCAACACGCCATTAATGATGATAGTACTCGAACTAGAGGGCCAAGCCGCCATTGATAGATAGCGCACACGAGTGAAGTGCTGGATAGATACCACCCATGCGTTATCATATACATCAATAAATAAAGACTTAACCCCACATGGCCCGTACTCTTCTTCTTTTTTTATGAGAGAAACTTTGTATGGGTTGGGCTCATTGGCTCATAGACATCATGAAATATTTACAATTTTTTTTTTCACTTTTATATTTTCTCATAAATTTTTGGTGAAAATTTAAAAATACTATTAATTTTAAGAGATGTGTCTCTGAATGTATTTTATTTTTACAAAATTGAATGTTAATGAGTGAGTCATCTTATTATAATTAATTTTAGAGATCCATCTCTAGATAAACTTTGTTTTTTTTTACAAAAAAAATGATGTTTTCGAATATGCATATATATAAAGTGCCCTGTTGTGTTTTCGGATAGACAGATCTAACATTCACACTACAAGAAATCTTTTGTATAGCCATGGATATTTGCTAGGGGTAAAACCCCTAACTAAAAAATAACGTTGCTTGGGGTTAAGTCACTCGCAACACACAAACTTTAAAAAAAAATATTATATTGCGTGGGTGTTTACCGTGAAATTTGGTAAACAATTGCTGGTCTTCCAAATTGAATAAAAATTAGTGACTTGCAGGATCAACAAAATTGATCCTAAGTACATCTGTTCTTATTCAAAAAAATTGTGCTTGAAACAACTAATACTCTTAACAACATTCGTATTCTTTTAAACAAAGTTGATTTCAATTGTTACTTCGTAGGTAGTAATATAATGCTTTAAAGAAAAGACGGGTGCATCATACGTACATTCTCACAACTCGTTTCTTGAACGCTGGTACTTTGAGTAGTTTAAAGTATTTTGTACAAAGATGTGAACACACTGAATCATAACGCTAAGACCATTATTTATACTAATTCGACCAAAACGGTCTCTAAATAAGATATTGCCATGTTCGACATTTGTATGCGCCTTCAAACTCTGTGATTCCACGCGTCTCTTTGGATAAGATCAAATTTTTTTGAATTTGAAAATTGTTTGTCTTTGAAGAACCAAATATCATAATCGTGGCGGTCAAAATATCCTTTCTGATATTTCGAATAACTTAAATCCCAATGATTTGCATATGAACCCTTCGCCAATACTTTAGCGAAAATTAAGCTCTTATTAACTTTTCATATATCAAAATCTTCACAAAGACTTCTTTATTCTTCCTTTCAAACTATATTCTCCAAAATATATCATTTCAGCTAAAAACTCATATAGTCGAAATTCTTAGTCAACAAATTTCCCCCAATAAATGTGTGTTTCGAATTACATGGTGAAACATACATTTTTTGCAAAATAATTATATTTCGATGAACAGGCAATCTTCATGATGGACAATAACTGTTATCACGTCAGAATAATCATGTTTTACTTTTCCAAAACGTCTAATCAAGATGTGATGCAGTTGTTCATCATTGCTACTAAAATAGGTTCTCAATGTGACTTTTAAACAATCAACCTCTTTCATTAGCTTATGAAAAATCAACATGTGTCCCACTAACTCAAATATTTTAAATTTTAAACCGAATAGCTTCCAGCTATAAATACTTTTCTTCTTCCTAAAACCTACTTTTTCATCTTCTCAACTCCCTGTTTTCAAAAAATTACGCTGTCCCTTCCTCAAAAACCTTCAAACAATCAAAATCTGAATTTGTCAAACATGGCGCCATTCAAAAAGAATAGAAAATCTGAGAAGAATGTGAAGAACAAGGAAGTGAAAACCACTAACGATGTTGCATTCAAACCGATTCATCACATCACAAAACCCCTTCTTGTTGGAAATCAAGAATTGGTCCTAACACCACTTGTTTCTACTGAACAATAAGCCATTTACGCTTCTCGGGTAATAATTCCTTTTACCCTTGTTGATAAAACTCTAGGGTATATGGGTCCAATGTTATCATCTTCATGTTTAGAACATATTAAGAACATTTTCCCCGTTTACTATGATACAAAACCCATTATTAACAAAGTTAATCCCCCTAAGAAGAAGAAGAAGAACAATAATCCTGATAAACAATTAGTAGAGTCATCTGTAGAGAAAATCTAAAAAGAGACTCCCTCAGTTACTGTAATTGAAGATAAACCCTTTCAATTCGACTATGTAACTGAAAACTTCAGACCTTTTAGGTCTTGCCCTGTAGTAGATAAACAATATCTTGCTTGGCTGGCTAAAGTCGAAAAGTCAAAATTCCAAGCTTGGAAAGACTTAGAAATCTTTGACTTGATTCAAATGTCGAAGATAGGTTTTAGTTATTGCCAACCCATGCCAATGTCCTAGTTGTACTTCTAGGATAATACTTAAAATACTTTCCACCTCCCATGAGGAACAATAAATCCTACTCTCTTTGATGTGGCTGCTATCATTAGACTCCCACCAATCAGAGAAACCTTTGACCCTTATCAACAAGAAGAGAACACCATTAACTTTATCTTCGAAAACACTACCTTTACCAAATACATGAATCTATACCATACTGGAGGAGACGAAGTGTCTGATGTTGAGCACATAACTTTCCTTGCCCTCTGCCTATCTAGGTGTATTTTTTGCTGCAAGTCTTTACAAGTAGCCATAAGATTCCTTACCCTAGAAAACCAACTCTACTCTAGTCGAAAAGTGTGCCTCAGTGAGTTAATTCTTAATGGATTATATGAAAGCCTCATATCTGCTACTTCCAAACTGAAAGAATACAAGGCAGGCACAAACATGCTCCTAGCTGGCCCATATTGGCTTCTCCAATCATGGCTTAATGTAACATTTGAACCATCTCTCAATACTTCTGGCACAGTGAATAATGAATACCCTGAAATCCAAACTCGAACTGTTGAAGGAACAAGACTGCTTTGACTGACTCTTGATGATGATGGAAAGAACTTTGGGGAGTATTTTACTAAGTATGTCATGATGTTTTCAAAACTTCATAACTTTAGTCCTTTGATGACTACTTTTTCCAATAGGACTCATGGCCCTGGATGGTTTACCAAATCTCTTTTTGAAATTTCGTCTAAAGACACGGATATAAATGACATCTGGAGAGCCTTTTTACTCCTTAGGATAATTGTTTCAAGGGTTATGCCCGTGAAAAGAAATATTTGCATGCTTTCTTATCAACCCAATTTTGTGTCTCGATAATTTGGGCTTTGCCAACTAACCCCTGAGCCGATTTTCAGAATAAAGCGCGAACTCTGCACCGCAGGAATGAAGTTCTTTCTCTCAGACTGGGAAGAACATATTTCTTATCACATCAATTTTGCCGAATTTAATCCTATCCCTTTATAACCATCTCTATATTGCTCGAAGGGTTTTGATACTTGGTAGAAAAACTTTTATTCAAAGAATATGTTCGACGCCATTTTCCTCAGCCAACATCTAACGGAAGTTTTTGCATTTATGGAGGGTCTGAGCCAAAAAGGTAAGCACACGCATATCAAGGAAATCATGTGTTCTAGAAGTATTTTGAAATTGTCTATGATCCAACTAACCTTAGTCAACCCACTTTTAACGCAGCACAAAGTTTAAAAGAGAAATTTACCAAAAAAATTTATCATTTTAAACGTCCTACTTGTGTCGAACCTGAACATAGATATGACTTAGCTTTTAAAATTCAACCACCAAAATTTTCAAAACTACACATCGTTGTTTTTTCCTTGGCTTTTTATCCTCCTTACCCAAACTGGTTGGTTTGTGGTAACTATCTTAACTTTTTAAAATAAGAGTCCCAAAAACCTGTCAAACTAGTGGTTTCGACTATGTATACCTTGGACAATTTCAAAGGGTTCCTTCATTATGACTTATTAGCTATCTCGATTCTTTCTCCAACAGTTGAAGGTGTGGAACCAAAGGATTTCCCTGGTCCTTTTCGATTAACTTTTTTATTTCCTTTATATTCGATACTAACCATTGTTATCACGTACATTGTTCTAGTCGTCAAAAAGAAAAACAACAAAAAGGAACAACCTAGTTCGAAGACAATTTCAACTGCAGCTTCCATACCAACCAACACCTTAACAAAAAGCACTACCTCAGACACCAAGAAATCGAAAGCTTCAAACATATGATTCAATTTTTTTTTTTTGCTTTTGTACTATATTCCTTTTTCTAATAGCATTACTTTTTAGGCTAGAAAATTACCTCCAAAATATCCACACAAAAGAAAGTCCACTCATGACGCTCCAGTGGAAATATAAGATGATGAAGAAACTTCTCCCACTCCATCACAAACCAAGAAGTCAAAGAAGAAGAAGGAAAAAACTTCTGTTGCAGCATCTTCGCAACTAACAAAGAAGAAACCTGAACTTACTATATTTCCCCAAAAACCCAAAGAGAAAAACACGTCTCAACCATTTAGAGGCGTTGTTCTGTAGCGGGTCGAAAGTGAAAACTCAATTCTTTATGGACCAAAGGTATAGCTTTTATTTGTTACACTTCTTCGATCACCATTGTTCTTTTATTCGAACTAATGTCTTTTTTATGTTACAGGAAAATCAAACAACTCTCTCTAAGTCTCCCACTAAGCAAAGAATTCTTCCTGACAGTGGTGTTGCTTTGTACCATCCTTTGTCTAGTGATAAATAATTCAGCAAAGGATCTTCGTCTGTAATTAACAAACTTGATACAACCGTACTACCAGAGAAAGAAAACATTCCCCAAACTGAGAATGATTCAGAGGTACATCAAGGGACCAAGAGGGCAGTGATGATGAAGGGAAGAAGGATGAATGCCCTAGTTACTCTTCACCAAAAAAGATCAAATTCGTTGATGACCTTCTTGTTGATGATGAACCTCTTACTAATGAGGAAATTGCACAATTCTTCGCTAGAGATGTAGAAACAGCAGAAGAAGAAGAAACTCAAGGAGAAGAAAATAAGGAACCTCACATCCAAGCCAATTCTCAAGATAAAATTACTCCTTCAAATCAATAACCTCAAAGCAATACCTCCACAGAGCTTTCCCAAGAAACACAGGATGCTTTGAAGAAGGATAAGCCTCTTGAGTATGTAAGGCTAATGATGAAAAAAGGATATTGTTGTACCCCAAAATTTGCCCTCGT